ATTTATGATTGTCTGAACTTTAAAAGATATTGATAAATCTTTGGACTCAATTCACATGACATTGACTTAAATTTTTACAACAAAATTGTCTTAAAAAATTTCTTAGTGGCTTGAATTATCTCTTTCTTGTTTAATTTTTCAAGGTGATATATAAATAAAATCTCATCCTTTTCTTACTGTGCTATTTGAATAAAGATGATCTATTATATACTATAAATGAATATGCTAATTGTTTTTAAACTAATACCTTTTAGATTTACTACAAATGACATAAAGGTTGATAAAATATTTAAAGACAAGAAGTTAATATTGAGCTTTTTATTCTTAGGTAATCATTGTTTACATATTTAGTACAGTACTATTAAGTTTGTCTTTATCAGTTGATATTTTCTTTTAAAACATGAAGTTTTCTTATAATTTGCAAAAGCATGAATAAAGGCAACTTTCATAAACTGAAAGATATGTTCGGAAAGAAATATAATATGCTGGAAAATTTTTCTCTAAGTTAATAGGAAAATCGTATGCAGTTTTACAGACATGTTCTACACACTATGTTGCTTACAAAACAAAACGTGTATTTTCAAAACTTTATTTTGATGGCCCCAGCCTATTATTTATTTTTTTGTTTTACCCAAGTTCTCATTTATTATGCCGTGAATAAATATAGTTTCATTTGTACTTTTTACATAAATAATAGACGTTAATCTTGCTGTTTAAACATTGCTATTATATTAAAAATAGAAAAATACTGGCTTTTTTACTGATGTTAATGCTGACGTAGTTTTTTTCTTCCTCCTGAGTTTACAGTGTTTTTGCACTCTGGTAGGGACTAGATAACTTTTGTTTGAAGCCAGCAGGAGGAGCTCTCACCTTGCTGGGTTCAATGTAATTAGTGTGCCTAAAAAAATCTGAATTTGTGGGGGTTTTGTATGTGAAACGAATGATAAAATACGTACTACATATCTCAAAAATTCTAAATTTTATTTTAATATTAAAGTATCATTCACCTGTCTGAAATACAAATTTGGAATCTTATATTTAAGAATTTTTTTAGTGGTATGATTGCAATTTGAAGAAATAAAGCAGTTAGGTAAATCTTGTTTCTGGAAGCTACTTAGAACTACCACAGAATGTTTCCTAAGCATTTGCACTGTAATAGATACATACATATTTTCCTTTTTTGTTTGTTTTGAAGTTAATATACTTCACAGTTTACTGTTATGAATACTGAGAACAAAGCAGACTTAATATGTTTTAGAAACAATAATTAAATGAATGAATTGACTTATTGGTTATAATTCCTATATACAACTTATAAATAGGAAGTAGCTGTTGATAGATTTCAGTAAGCATTCGAGATTTTTAAGACACTTAGCTCCAGTGAACCCTTTGATTTGAATGTTGTGATTCGTAGGTTGTACCAGGGTATTATCTGCAGAAATCTTTGATAAGAAAAGTTGAATGAAACTTCCAAGCATTAAAAGAAAGAAAAAACAAAACAGTGCCTTTTGTTTAAATTAAGAATGCATACAGTGCTGAGAAACTGTCATCACCAAGAGAAGTCTAAGGAGACATGATAATTCAGAATAGAAAAATCGCAGCAGGTGAAAAAAAAAAAGGCAGCAGTAAGGAAATCTGAATAAATTGTACATTTTAGTTAATTATGATGTGTCCATATTAGTTCATTAATTGTAACCAATGTATCTTATTAATGGGAGGTGTTAATAATGCAGGAAACTGGGAATTGGGTAGATGGAAATGGTACAATCTTCCAATTTTTATGTAAGTCTAAAACTGTTCTAAACAATAAAGTCTGGTTTTTTTTCTATTGTACTTTGGGCTCTGTGGTACACATACACATCCTGCATCCTGCAGGATTGTTGCATAGTTACAAACATGCCATGGTGGTTAAATTTTAAAAAAAAGAAATACTGATGTTTCCCTCTGTTAAGTGAAGTACATATTAAGACAACAATGAGATAAGTGTTGCACACCTGATAGAATGACATTAAGAAACTGGACAAAACCAAGTCCTGGTAGGTACAGGAACGGGAAAACTGTGCATTTCCCTATTTCTCAATGTAAAATTTCACAGCAGTTCTGGAATCCAGATAGATAGTTTATTTGAAAAACAAACTTTTTTTTTAAATAACTCAGTAATTCTACTCCTACGTATTTATCCTGGAGAAAGATAAACGGGTTCATATAAAAATCTGTGTAGGAAAGTTTAGAGTGGCCTTATATATAATGTTCTTCACTGGAAATAGCCCACATGTCCATCAGCTAGAGAATTCCATGCAGTGACGTAGTTTTCAGCCATGAAAAGGAACAGTTGAAACATGCAGGCCCAAATGTATAGGCCGAGTGAAAGAAACCATGCTCAAAAGGCTGCATGTTATGTGATTTCATTTATTCAACATTGTAGAAAAGGCAGAGCTACAAAGAAAGAAATCAGATTAGTGGTTGCCAGAGGATAGGGTGGGAAAGGGATTCCTTATAAAGGGCCACAAGAAATTTTGGGAGGGTAATAGACATATTCTCTAGTTCGATTGTAGCCAAGTAGCCATGGTTACATGGGTGTATGAGTTTGTCATGATTTACAGAAATGTACATTGAAAGAGGGTGTACTTTGTTGTAAACCAAACAAATTTTAATAAATTTTTTGATAAACAATTGGGAAATTTATAGATTAAAATGCACTTAAACAGGAATGCCAACTAACTTATTAGTACTTATTTAAATCTTGGTTTCTTGTCCAAATAAATTGAGACAGTAAGGAATATTGAACACTGTCTGGATATTTCATTGCATTAAGCAATTACTTTTCCTATTAATGAATTAAGATATGTAGATATATTAAAATAGTGTTTTAGATATACATGTTGAATTTTTTTGGTGAAATGAAATGATTTCTAAAATTTACTTAAAATCTTGCAGTGGGGGAGTGAGTAAAAATGTGTAGATGAAACAAGACTGGCCATAAATTGGTAATTATTGAGCCTGAGTGATGAGTTATGTGAGGGTTCATCGTACTATTTTTCTCCACTTCAAAATGTGTTTAAAAATTTTTCACAATAAAAATCAATTAAAAAACAGGGCCGGGCGCGGTGGCTCAAGCCTGTAATCCCAGCACTTTGGGAGGCCGAGGCGGGTGGATCATGAGGTCAAGAGATCAAGACCATCCTGGTCAACATGGTGAAACCCCGTCTTTACTAAAAATACAAAAAATTAGCTGGGCATGGTGGCACATGCCTGTAATCCCAGCTACTCGGGAGGCTGAAGCAGGAGAATTGCCTGAACCCAGGAGGTGGAGGTTGCAGTGAGCCGAGATCGCGCCATTGCACTCCAGCCTGGGTAACAAGAGCGAAACTCCGTCTCAAAAAAAAAAAAAATTAATTAAAAAATTATGGCTTAGTTTTTCAAATGGATGTTTAGTGAGCCAATTTAAATAATACTAAAGGAATATTCTGCAATTAGTAAGTACAGTTTAACCAAGGAATTTAAGGATACTTTCATATTTAAAAATGTATCAATACAATTTATCACAGTGGTTTACCCAAGTAAAACCTTGGAATCCTTAGAGTAGACACCAAATAGCAAATACCAAATAACATACTCACAATTGCATTTTTAAAAACTGTAAGTGAGAAACCCTCAGCCAGGTACCTTGGCTCATGCCTGTAATCCCAGCACTTCGGGAAGCTGAAGTGGGAGAATCACTTGAGGCCAGGAGTTCAAGACCTATCTTCATGACAGAGTGAGACCTTGTCTCTACAACAAATGAAAAAATTGCTGGACACAGCAGTGCGTGCCTGTAGTCCCAGCTACTCAGAAGGCCTCAGCAGGAGGATCGCCTTAAGCCTAGGAGTTCAAAGTTTCAATGAGCTATGATTGTATCACTGAACTCCTGGGCAACAGAGCAAGACCTGTCTCTAAAGGAAAAAGAAATCCCACTTCCTTAACAAGATGAGGAACCAAAATTAATGATGAGATACACAACCATTGTTTCTCAGAGGTCCATGGCCCACTGACATCTGGAGGCTTGGGAGATAGTAGTTAAAATAAAGATCTGCTGAAACCCGAGCTATCCACATTTACCTGCTGGAAACATGACAAAAACCCTCCTTAGTTGATCTCCGTCTGTCTTTCAGCATTGTTTCTATCATCTAACTTGCCCCAAAGAGTCTCCACTCCTACGAAAGTGAACTGATTTGGTCATCTTACAGTTAGTTTATAAAAAAGATTCTTTCTGATTGAAACCCCCTCATCCTAGACCAGTTCCAATTAGATTCCCTTTGTGAAGTTCTCCCAGACCTGTCAACCCAACTTTAGTCTGACTTAATTGCTAGGGTGTGGATATAGTTGTCACTTTTATAATTTAACAGAAAATGTTATTACATGTTTCCATGTCTGCCTTTTTGATCAGATTATGAATCGCTTTTGGTGAGGAAAAGAGATGGATGGTTCTTATGTTTGCTTTTGCATCCCCTCGCCATAAGTAAACTACCTAGTGTATTTAATAATGCAGTCAATGCTTTAAAGATAGTAAGATTTTTCAAAATGAGTTTTTTTAATACTTTGCTGTTTATGTATAAGGACATTTAATAACACAAAAAGAGATTAAAGAGGTCTACTTTAATACAGGATTTTCTTCCTGAATGTGGTCTAAAAAGACTGTATATGAATATGGGCGGGGGGGGAATGCAAAGGTAGTTATTTTATCAATTTAAAACATCTGATATTAAAATTGACTTAATTCTATTCAGTCATTTTATTTAGCATTGTTAAACAGAAATATACATACTTGATTTCTAACCACTGAATGCATTTTATCATTACTTAATATTTTATATTAATATGTTAATAATTTTTGAAGTTAGACAACTCATTGAACTTGATTCAGTGAATATAGTAAGCATAGTTGACATTAATGATTTAAATAACTAATAATATATTTTGTGTTGAGAAATTCATGAAATTTTTTTTCTATTTAATTCCAGTTGTGTTGCTTGATACAACAGCTGTGCTGGGAGAGCTAGGATGGAAAACATATCCATTAAATGGGGTAAGTTTGAATACCTTTGAAAAATCGCCATCTTTGTTAGGTTTTTAAGATCTCATAATAATTGATGGAATGGTGAATTTTGGGGTGTTATGAATTTTGGCATATAACTTAAATCACAAAGTAAAGATTAAAATACAATTAGAACTGGTAAACAATGGAAATGATACATAAAGATCCTTCGTTTCTCCTAAATTAGTAATTATTCTTCAATACTATATTTATTATACATAGTAACATTAGAATCTCCCATGTAAGTATTTTCCTTTAATATAAATTTCTATGTATACATTTATATATATGTTAAATTTAATACCCTCAGTGAATGTGCATAAATAAACTTTGGACTACCATAGTATAAGTGGATTGTACAAGTGTTAAAAATTAGATTTTTATTACTAAATACAAATCTACTAAAGCATGCGTTTTTGAACTTGGTAGGAAGATACAAGGTGATTGTTTAGTTAACTGAAAGTAGTTGTATTTAAAGGCTCATAAGGATGTGTCATTTGCAAAATATAATTTTTAATGGACCAAGATTTTAGCTGTGGTTGTACTTGACTTTTTATGTATTTTTATATATTTTGCATTACAGTATATTTCTACTTCTTGTTTTCACATTAAACTAAAATAAAAGGATGGTTTTGAAGCATTTTGATTTGGCTTTTGTCTAGTAATATTCAATAATAAAGGCAGTCACATGGTTTCAGAAACACTTGGGTTAGCTCTCCTTTCTTTTCTTAGAAATAGTAGATTTCTCCTTAATCGCGTTCTTACTTGACATTTTTACATTGCTTCTTCTAATATATCATCAAATTTAAATCTCAAAGGAGAAATTGATCCAAATATGTTTTATTCTCTTAAAATCTTTCACATATTGCTGTTTGAATTTCACATTTAGCATCAACAATTATTCAGAAATAAGTGCATATTTTTAACTGTCCTATGAAGAGTTAAATCTTCCTCTCTTGCTTTAACAGCCCATTTACTTCTTTAGATTTGTAAGTTTTATATACAGTGAGTTTATTTTTCTGAGATTTTCATTTATTCTACTAGAGCTCTCATCAGACTCTGAGATATGGATCTGAAACTAGGATCATTCTTTTATCTTCATTGTCTTATTTCCATTAAAATGAGTAAACATTAGTATTGTTGAGTGTCTTAAGTAGGTCATGTTTATAACTTTTGAGAACTAAATGAAATGTTTCTAAAATTCCTTTGTGGGGTGTGTGTGTGTGTGTGTGTGTGTGTGTGTAAATAGCAGATGTTAAAAATCTTATGAATAGTAGAATGGATAGATGATATAAATAAGTTTTAAAGAAAATAAGCAATTAATTTTTTCCTTTTTTAATAAAGAGGATAGATTACTGGTAGTAATGGAGCTTTATTTAATGCTATTTATAGGTTAAAATAAGCAACTAATCGGTAAGGATGAAGAACTTTTTAAAGAGGCTACTAAAAATGCCAAGAATGAATATAATCCAGTTATCAATGTAGGTTACAGTATTTAAAATCGACCAGAATCATTAATCAGTTTATAACATGTAAACTAGCATTTATATGCATACATTAAAATTGTAATTATATCTAATTGAAATCATATAAATTTTTCAGATATTCAGGTTCACTGAGGCGTGCTAATCTGATTGACCATTTTAACAATTACATTTTTACATGGACTAATTCAGTTGACTTACAAATACATCATGAGTGGAAAAGAGAGGTAGACAATATAATTGGCAATATGTGATATAAAGTGTATCTGGTATTTTTATAACTAATGCATTTCCTAGAAATAACTTTTTAATTGAAAAACTCTTTCTATAAAGAAGATTTTTTTTCAAGTGCTACATAAAATATAGGAAATTTATTCATTGATTCCATAGATTTTTTTTTAACTTAAAATAGTCATTCCTCTATTCTGTGCTGATATAGTTAGAGAATTAGGCATTCAGAGTTTGCCTGTGAACACACCAATAAATAGTCATTTCGGTAGGAAATGGAACATCCCTGGTTAGTAATTATGGAAAAAGGATGAATAGTCTGAACAAATAACATTTCAGGCTTACAGAAATGAAGAGAATTGTTAATTTTCTAAAACACTTGCTTATCAATTCATTTGTGTCAACATTTAAAGTATACTTTATTTTCTTTCAAGCATTGTCCTGAATTCAATTTAACAAACTTCTGTTTTATGCTTCTCTATGCCAAATACCCTGTTACTGTGCTTAAGACAGATTTTTCTACCCTCAAGGACTATTGAAGCACAGCGGTAATTATACAGAATCACTAGGCCAAAGAATGTGTCTTCAGGTTCTGAATAAGTTTTGTGAGAAAAGTAATAAAAGGAGATATTAATTCTGGTCAGGAAAAAATGTGAAGAAGAAGTTGCATGTCAGTTCTTTGAAAAGAACTGTGAGGGAATCACATACAGGCTTGAAAAAAGGTAGAAGGCAACTTCTAGGTGAGGGGAGTATCGTGTACAAAGGCAAAGAATTATTTCATGTGTGCGTCAAGTTTTAGGAATGCTGAAAATCATTTGGCATGTAGGGATGCAGTGAAAATAATCATTTGGCTGGGGTGGAGGTATACAATGAGAAGCAGGACCTGTAATCATAGGCTAAACCACATTTTACAAGACTTAGGATTTCACTAAGTTGAGATAGACAATTCATATCTCAGCATAGACAATTCATATCTCAGCATCAGCAAGTTAACTTTTCAAACCTTGTTTTTTTTTTGAGACGGAGTTTTGCTCTTGTTACCCAGGCTGGAGTGCAATGGCGCAATCTCGGCTCACCGCAACCTCTGCCTCCTGGGTTCAGGCAATTCTCCTGCCTCAGCCTCCTGAGTAGCTGGGATTACAGGCACGTGCCACTGTGCCCAGCTAATTTTTTTTGTATTTTTAGTAGAGACGGGGTTTCACCATGTTGACCAGGATGGTCTCGATCTCTTGACCTCGTGATCCACCCGTCTCGGCCTCCCAAAGTGCTGGGATTACAGGCTTGAGCCACCGCGCCCGGCCTAAAACCTTGTTTTTAATATGGACATGGTGGATGAGATCTTTGTTACATAGTAGTACTGAGCTTAGATATAGCCACTCTAGTATACAAAATCAAATGTACTTTTCAACAATGGAGTACCATTAATTAAACATCAAGAGACAAAACTGAATGTTAAGAGAACAAAAGTGCTGTTAGATTTTACATCACATTTTACTTTAATGACAATAAAAGATTAGAAAACTTTGCGTTTCTCTAATGCTGAATATTGGTTTTGAATGTCTTATAGATAATTTTTGTGTGCTCTGACTTAGATGATCACTAGGGCTTGAGCAATGCAATATAGTACAAGGGACGTGATCTTATCTGTTGGACATAGTGAATTGGTATTAGGAAACTTACCCTGAAATATTTTGTGTATTAGTCATGGTTCTTCGGAGAAAGAGAACCAATAGGAGATATATTTGTATCTATTTTGTTTATCTATATCTATTTTTCTATCTAAGGAGAGAGATACTGAGATTTATTTTGGGAATTGGCTCACATGATTATGGAGGACGTGAAGTCCCATGATCTACAAACTGAAGAATGAGGAAAGTTGGGGGTGTAATTTATTCCTAGTCCAAAGGCCTGGGGAGTGGGTACTGATGTCAGTTCCCACGTCTGAAGGCCCAGGAACCAAGAGCTCTGATCTCTAAAGGCAGGAGAAGACAGATGTTCCAGCGTAAGAATAGGGAGCAAATTCGTCTTTTCTACATCTTCTCATTCTGGCTCCACTTCAGTGGATTGGATGAGGCTAAGTTACATTAGTGAGGGAGGGCAGATATTCTTTAATTAGTTTGTTGATTCACATACTAAGCTCTTGCAGATACATTGCCACACACACACCTGGAAATAATTTTTTAGCAATTGTCTTTAGCCTAGTCGTGTTAACTCATAAAATTAACCTTCACAGTTAGGAAAATAAGAAGACATGTCATTCATGTGTAAATAAAAGTTGTAAGTAAACCTAACAACTAACGGATTTTTATAATAAAAAGAGCATAGATTGCAGTTAACCTCTGTAGAAAGATACTTTATTTTATTAATCAGAGCCCCTCATTTCTCTATATAATTTTTCCAAAAATGAAAATCAAAGATTGAATGTACTATGATAGAGAATAGAGTATCTACTAATAAATCATGTTTTTATAATGTAATTTACATATTTCATGTAGTAAGAAATAATTCATCATAGTACAAAATCTCAGCATTACATTTTGATTCATCCTACAATACATTGAAATTATCGAAAACTACCATGTACATATTCAAATTCCAAAAATGTAAATTTTGGTGATAACTTCTTTTGGTGAATATGGATTGTTTTGGTTATTGTTTTCAAGCTGACAAATAATTTTTCTTCTTAGAAACTTTACAACATATATGGCAATGTTTTAAACATCCATCATGTTAATTGCAGTTATATTGTTGTGTATTTCAAAGAAATGCATTAGGTTTTGTTAATTAATTCTATAAATGCACATTTCTTTAATATCCATGTTTATAAGACATTTTATAGCTGTGAGATGTCACCACCCACATAAGGGAAATGGCTTGATAAAAGTGCTCACGTCGTTAGATTATTAGGATGAAATTCTGTAATATGTGCAAAGAAGTTAAAATAATGGTTCATAATAAACATTACATAAATATTTGTTATTGTTAGTAGAAAGAAAAGAAAAATACTGACTTCTGTATGGACTGTTTCTTTGCTTTTTTCCAGAATCACATTTTATCATGTATCAATATTTTCTTCTGACCACAAGCAATTATATTTTTGTGCCTTTGTTTATTTAATAAGATGAACCTATAGAATGAATCATTTTTTCATTTAAATATAAATAATATATACATCTATACTTATTTAATCTTTCGCCACACATTGTGAAAAAAATGCTGTTCTACGTACTGGAGGTGGTGCTGGGCATCATCATTACAAAAATATGTGAACCCTCTTAG